GGGATCAGCTTGGTACAACCCCAGCACTCCCGACAGCTTAGCTGAATAAGCATTAAGCCAAAGTTTTGCAACCTAGTACTCCCACGTGAAATACACGTCAGCATGTGTTAAGTGTACAAGTGTAAAAAAACAAGTGGTTTTTTTAGAAACATCAGTAGACCCCATCAACAGAAAGACTGCAGGTATGATTCTCCTTTCCTGCTGGTATACTTTAAGAAACAGTACAAGTTGGGGTTCCTACAATGCTACACTAAATGTACGTCCTTGGGTAATATGGGCTCCTCCTTAAAAGACTTCAACTGTAACCACTGTTGCTGTAACAGAAGAAACACAAGTTTGCTGTTTGCTTTCCCACTTTTGTGCACTCCGCAATGCTCCATATACATGGAAAAGTTGCAGATCTTTCAGCTCATAAACTGCCCTCAGTTCTTACACCAGAAACCAAATATTCTTTTGTGAAAAGTACCACGTACAAACTTTCAATTCGTTTCTGACAGCTTGTGCAATCAGATCCTGTTAGAGCTCTTCTGCATGCCCACTCCCCAGGTGGGTAGTTTGAGTTCTGATTTCTCATCACTCCACAAAAATAAAAAAAAAAACAAAAACAGCCTGTGACAGTAATGTCAGAAATACATTCAAAGAACATCTGAAATCATGGCATAAGGAAAGTCCTGCGCATGTCAGCAAATGGCAGTACTCTTAAGGCCTGCATCCCAAGTTAGTTTTACATATTCCAAAGGAAGTACAAACATTTATCTCCTTAAAATACAGGCATTATGAAGGCAAGCCAAGTTTCAACAGCTAACTGTAAAATGCCACAGCACTTCAGCAGTAATTTGCAGATCTGTGCACTTAACAGTCCATCTCTCGTCTTTCATACAGCAACTCTAGCTTTTTAATCAATGAAATTCCCTGCACAAAACTCCATGGAAGTTTCAATACATGAGATATTTATAAGTTTAAAAAAGAAAAAAAAAAAAAAAAAAGGAAATGGAATGTCAATGGAACAGAATTAAAGCCTTCGAATTACGATTTTCTTAAGTTTCCACTTGCAATACAGACAACTACTAGAGGTTTCCCTAAATTAACATTTCAAAAATGCAAGTTAGAGTGAACAGACTAAAGATTGTGCTACCAGCAGTTATGTTTTAACAATTTACATGGAAAGATCAAAATCACTAACGAGACCCCCGCTTTCAAAAGCCTCTCTAAGAACCTCAGACAATACAGAATAACTACCTCAACATTTCAAATGGAAGATTTACTTTTCTGTTACATCAACCACTCCCAATGCAAAGTACTGGAGCAGAGGGCATGAAAGTAACATAAAATGCCATACCTTTGAAATTACTGCCTTAATCAGCACCTACAGTAATAACCTCACCTTCCAGAAAGTACACCAGGCCTCAAAGTAACACCCACTGATCTTAGCATCAATTTTCCTCGAAAAATAACTTTGTAACTAACTCCCAGAAGTGCCAACAGCTACATGAGATGCTCCAAGTAACACCACAAAATTAAGGGAATGAAATAGGAAGAGATGATGAACTCTTCAGAATTTAAAGACCTCTAGGAAGAAGACAAAAGTCAAATTGACCGTTTTCCTGACAAATTATTATGCAAGATTTCATACAGTGCCATCACATTTAAAGGCAGGTGTAAGCATGATATCTTACAGCAAGAGCCACATGAATTAAGTTACCAGTATCAAGCACAAGTAGACCTTTTCATGTATAAGACTGTCAGAGACAGCAAAAGCACAATCTACTCACACATTATCTTTTACGTGAGCTTACAACCATTTATCTCAATAGTTCAAGAAAAGCCTTACAGATAATACATTTATCAGCATCTTAGATAACTAAATGCTGAAAAACTTTACCTCAAGTGGCCATATATAGCTTAGATATAGAAAAATAAGCCAATCCTAATTCATCTTTGAACACTGCCTGCCACACGTGCAGAAAAACTGAAGTACCTTATAGCTCTGAATAAGAGAGTATTTCAACATTTTGCACAATGTGACAACCTTCTTCTGAAGTTTTCCATTTCTTACTTATTCCATTTTACCTAGCCTAAATCCAACCCTAGTACGTTGTTCCAAGCCTCCACTCATTACAAGCATCTCCTCTAAGCTCACATCACAGCCCAACAAACCTGTGTGCTAACACTGGCTGTAGCTGGTGACCAATGTTTTTCAGTGTCACACAAAACAGCACCTTATTTTGACAGAATTTAACATCAGAAAAAGAACAAGACAATCAACTCAAATTTGTCTTGTAACACACCCTGTAGGAGGAAAAAAAGCAGCTCAAATATACAAACATTTATACACAATCTTCTTACATTCTCACATTAACTGTGATAGTTTGTAGTTGAAAATAACACTTTTCATAATGAAACCATTTGCAAACAACGAAGTCTTGTGTAAAGCCAAGTAAAAGGCAAAAAAAAACCCAGTACCTAATTAACTAGCTGAAAAGTTGTTTCATGAGCTATTCAGTTACTTTTAATAAAAATGCACGAATCAATTCTGCTTATATAAAGAAAACAATACATAAGCTCAAGAACTACAGGACTCGCTCAGATGATGTTCAACTAAGCTTAGGGAACCACCCCAAAGACAACTGGTTTCCTTCCCAGTAGGGATGCATTTTCAGGGCCTGTCTTGTCTTTCTTTTCCATCCTATGGACCCACTGTGTTCTCTTCACACACACACATTCCAGAAGTAGGAATTCCAGTTAGTATGTGCTGAGCACATGTGCAAGGCAATTCCCTGCACATTTCCACATTATTAAAAAAAAAAAAAAAAAGGAAAAAAGTAGCCTGTGTCCTTCTCCACTACCTACCAAGAAGCTAGCCACAAAAATGGCTGTTTGTTTCCTTTCAATGGGCCCTACCCCTCAAGCCCAGGGCTGCAAGAAAGGAGGACAGAAGAAACGTGAGTGCCAAAACCAGAACACTTCCTCAGAAAATCCACTTTCTAGAGTTTCTCTGATAAAAGAACAAACAGAAGCAGGCCAAGGACTGGTTTAATTGAACTTCTGAGCAACCCTGAACCACCAGACCTTTGGCTGAGCAGCCAAAGAAAAGCAAAAATCCCCTGCTTTCTAGGTCCATCCTTGTCAACTTTAAAAACGATATAGACTCAAAACAGTGATCCCACATTTCTGTAGGAAAGTTCACACATTAAAACAAAAGGGATTTTTTTTCCCAAGACAAGGAGCTCAGAGCATTTATTTTCTCAGCATTACTGTTGCCTGCACAGTTGAGACATTCAGCTTTACCAATCAGCACGACAGGGCAACTTTTAACCATGACTGTCACAGTTGGGAAGTTTACCCTAGGAGCTGAAAGATCATCTTCTCTATTAAAATAACCAGATTTTAAGAACTTAAGACTAGGACAGAAAAAATAAGCAAACGTGTGTTTATGGAACTGCACAGCTTATCAGTGCACAAAATCATTTATGTAGGTATGGTCAGAAGTTAACCACAGAACAAGAGTATGTATGGTCCCAACAGTCACACTACAATAAATGTGCATTCACCACCTTCCCTGAAACAGGACTGAACAGTATTTATTAAGAGCCACACAGACAGTCAAAGGAACTATAGCAGATGCTCTAGCCTTTGCTGCTATTGACTTTTCTAAACACTGCATTCTTTGCTTCCAGACCTCCTACAAAAAGCACGAAAAATTAAAAAAAAAAAACTATTCTGCTATTATAGTTATTGCAATGTAATGAATAAAGTCTAAAAGGGAAAAAAAATAAAAATAAAAAATAAACAGAATACTCTCTGTTATTTCTGCCCTGTAACTTCTAGCAGATCCCAAACTAGCAGCAGCATCATTCCATGCACGACGCTTGTATTCGTGTTCACACATGGCTATACACATGCCCTACTATCCATATAAAGAAACACCCCACATTTTTCTCCTCAGTGATTGCAAGAACAATACACAGGAATAGGTTGCCTAAGGAGGCTGTGGATGCCCAATCCCTGGATGCATTCCAGACCAGGCTGGACGTGGCTCTGGGCAGCCTGGTCTGGTGGTTGGTGACCTGCACATAGCAGGGGGTTGAAACTGGATGATCATTGTGGTCCTTTTCAACCCAGGCCATTCTATGAATCCCCAAGATCCCTCTAATGGTCTCACATCCTAAAACTAGCTTTTCAAACAATTTTTCATTGCTCCCAATGAGCAACGGCATGACTTTTCATCCTAATATTAGTGCCTCCTTAGGTGGAAATGGTACACTTCCACCTCCATATGTTTTGTGAATAGAAAATAGTAGTTTCTACATCCATTCCAAAAAGTTGCTTCCTTGTATTAAAGATACCCCCAATACAGGATTAAAAAAAAAAAACCACTGTGAAAATCAAACTACAACATAACAGTACTTAGTGTATAATCACATTCTCACTCTGAATGTATAAGAAAATCACATATTAGAAAATAATACATAACAGGTCCAAAGTCTGCACAAAGTTTGTCGTAGCATTGAAAAAGCACCTCACTCAGCCTAGCACACTCCCCAAGCTTCAACACACATTCATAAAGGCAACCTGCTTAATTACTTAACAACAACTACATTGGAACCTTCACTCTGCAAGAATCCCAGGTATCCAGATGTGCATCTTCTCTGAAATGGGTAGAAGCCTTACCTCGTTGATTGTCTATTAACCATGCATCTTCTAGACTGAACAAAACATGAAATTGCTTTGCGAAGAAAACATGCTAGAAAACAAGGTATCAATAGATTACAGCACAGGATAATCAGGATACGGGTTTATCCCCAGATGTCTAGCAAGCTTCACTACATCACTGTAGGAAGGCCAGTCTGTTTCTGTGTGCTCTATCCTAAAAGGGAAATTTATAGAACAGCGGGACCCTAAACTGTGCAGCACGGACCTCCTGAGAACGCAGAGTTGGATTAGCAGTAGTACATCCCGTTGCAGAAATTAACTGCCCTTCCCCTTGACCTAATACTTACTGTTGGCTCCCACATCCTCAGCTACTCCAGAACCTCTCATTCTCAGGTATGTGAATCCCAGTATCAGAAAGAACAAGCATGCAGCAGTTAAGAGGAACATGGACAGGTAATGTGCACTGAAGCCTCCAGTGGTGGATACCTCCTCTCTTTTGAACTGTTGGAGAAGCTCCTCCTCGGGCTCGGAGAGATTCTTCTTGTAGGTGTTTTTCAGGTAGGCGTGATTTGAACCCGTATGATTGGAGTGGTTGAGTCTGAGGGAGGCGCTCCCGCCCGGGGGGAGGCTGTTGGTAGCGGAATAGATCCTGGGCTCGGCGCCGTGGCTGCCGGCGGCCCCGCCGAGGACGTGGTTGTCGGTGGCCTTCCTGGCGGCGCCCGGGGGCTCGGCGCCGTCACCGCCGTCCGCGTCCGGGGGCGGCGCCGTGGGGGCTTTCCTAGTCAGGCCGAGGCGGTACCGGGGGCCGGCGGGACCCGGCTCCGATCTTCCCCCCGCCGCCGTCTCCTCGCGGCTCCCGCCCCCGTCTCGGCTCCCGGCAGCGGCCGCCCCCGCCGCCCCATCAGTCGCGACGGCCGCGCCGGCACCGCAGCCCCCGCCGGCCCTCTCCCGAGCCGTCTCCATCGCGCCAGCGCCGGCCGCAGCGCATTTGCTCGCTGTGAACGGAGCGGTCTTGCCGAGGCTCCGCCTGGGCCGGCGGGCCGCCGGTTCCTCCCTCGGTACCTGCTGCCGGGCCGCCGCCTCCTCTTCCTCCGAGTCGGAGTACCTGTCCCCGCCGCAGACGAGCAGCCGGCTGCCGTTCACGGTCCGGTTCTTCCACCGCCGCTGCTCGCCCTTCTCCTCCTCCTCCTCCGCGTCGTCGTTCTCCTCCTCGCCGCCGTCCCCGCGCTCCCAGGCGCCCGGAGCCGCTCTGCGGGCCGCCGCCGCCCCCCACCAGGCGCCAGGCTTCCGCCGGGCCGCCTCCTCCGGGGGCGCCGTGCCGCCGCCGGGCCTCGCGCCGCGGAAGAGGGGCGAAGCCCGCTCCCTCCTGCCGCCGGCCTGGCCGCGAGGGCCGGCCTCCGCGTCCGACTCGTCCGAGCTGAAGCCCAGCAGCACTTTGCCGCCCCCGGCAGGGGGTGCTGCGCGGCTCCGCCCGCCGCCGGCGGCCACGGCGAGGCAGGGGTGCTCGGCGCCCGCCAGCCGCCCGCCTGCGCCCGCTCTCCCGGCGCCGCCGCCTCCGGCCGCCGTGTTATTGTTGTTGCTGTTCCGGGTCTTGTTGGCGGCGCCGCGGGCCCCGGCCCGCTCCTCCTCGCGCAGCTTCTTCAGCTTCTTCAGGTAGACGGGCCGGGTGCTCTCGGTGACCGGCCCCGGAGAGAAGCCGAAGCGCCTCAGCTCCGAGAAGAGCTCCTCATCCGTGAGCTGTGCGGCCGCCGCCATTTTCCGCTCCCCCGCCGCCGCGGCGTTTCCTACCCACGCGCCGCGCCGCGCTCCCCGCCGGAACTGACGCGTGCGCACTCGGCTGTGGCCTAGACCCGCCCGTCACCCCCAGGCGCCGCCCGGCCCAGGCACGGCTGCGTCTCCGGCGCTCCGCGAGCCGCCCTGCCCTTCCCTGCCCGCCCTGCGCCGCGCCGTACCCGAGGCAGGGGAGTGGGGCGGCTGGTTCCCGTCAGCGGCCGATGTGAGAAGAGGTCGGGGGCGGGAGCTGGTTGGACTGCAGTAGGGACCCCTGAAAGGCGCTGCAGGGCGAGGCTTCAGCGCATCTCGCTCGGATCGAGCGCTGAACGTCTCCTAACGCCGCTTTCCAGTCACAACGCTGAATACACCCAGACCCCACCTGCGCGCCTGGCGTGAGCCGTCTGCTCCTTCCTCCTACCCACCCGCTCCTCACTCCTGGCTGAGCTCTTCTCTTGTAGAAAGACAGGCAGCGCTGTGAGATGTTGCTGTGCTATGCTCAGCAGTGAGCGCTCCTGCAAGATGCGCCCTGAGCATCACCCTCCTTAGGTTTACATTGCCTGGAGACGTTGTTTTCTTTAAGAAAATATGCTGTCTCAAATTTGGAACCAGGAAAACTAACGACATACATCAATGTGTGTTTGTCAGATGGTTGTTTGTCGGAATGGTTGTGCCAACTGGCATTTCTCAGCATGGGGCATGTGCCAGCCCTCCTGATTGCTCCTTTGCATGTAGGCCTCGAGTGGCGCCTGCAGAGTCCCCTACTGACCTATGTGCCTCCGTCTGTCCATCCCAAATGTCAAACTCTTGGCCTATCCACTGATGAGAACACCATAAAGGCAGCACTGTTTCCATTTCAATATACCTATAATTGCCCTTGTAGGAGTGCACACACAGTGGTGCAGAAGCAGGATCTGGTGGTAAGACTAGGTGTATGTTTTCTGCTCTGGGTCTGCTGCAGTGAGGGATGTGGCCTGCTAATGTCAGAACTGAATCTGCTAAGCTCACTCGTGGAGGAACATTTGCAGAGCAGGAGTTCAGATTACTGTTCTGTATCTATGTGCTCAAGACTGAGCCAAGCTGCAGAACTAGAAGACTGTCATGAAGCCATCCTTCATAATGATGATGAATTGTGATGATTAACTGCTGTGCTCCACCTTTCATTTCTGACCAACCACACCTGGAAACACAGAGCCAACCATCTGATCTCAGCCTCTTTTAACATAACCTTTCTGAAGCTGCGGGGTCTGCTACTGTGCTATTCTGTTGGTGCTGCTATGTTCCACGTGCAGGGGAACCATTTCACGTGCAACAATGTGCTTTGGAGCAACACGCTGAGCTCTATGTGTACTGAAGATTACCTTCAAAATCAACTCTACTGTACATTAAACCACTAACATAAATGCACCCACTGACTTCTCTCCCCACCTGAAAGAAGCTAACTGATATGCCAAATGCCATGAGAAATGCTTCCAACATTCTACCCCTTCTCTTCAGTATGAACAGCCCAAGCTTTCCAGCATCCCTTTGAGCTGATCCCTGAATATGCCCCCACACTCAGTGCGTACTTCCTGTGCCTATGGCACTGCCCAAAGCACCTGCAATCAGTCCCAGGCCTGATAACAGTGGGACAAGTGCACTCCTAGCTACACACTGACACCCTCCTTTTGTGAGATGAGTGTGTGTTGTGCTAGAAGTTTAGATCCCTTGATTTTACCAATATTACTCAGATATTCCAGCTTTTTATAACAGCGAGGTCATTAATTAGTTTATAAACGTATTTACTTGGCAGCAGGAGGCAGTAAATGCTATAAATTGTCCACAAATTAATCACCTCCTGCAGAACTAAACAGTGCATATACACAGAGCAGCTGACTGAAAAGCCTTTAAAATGTGTGCCAAAACATTTTGAAATGTTTCAAAAATATGTCTCCTGGTTGATACTGAAGTAGGGATTCTACCAGTTCCCGATCTCCATGTTTGTTGATGACTATAGATTTATATCAATATCTCCAGGTAGCAGATTTTTTCAACAGATGCCAAATAAACTTAATCTTTTAAAGATTATGGGAGGGACTGGGGAGTTTGTTCTTTGAGAAAAATTTGGCTGTTGATTTTTTGAACAAGACGTTTTGAATTTTCCCCTCATCTTTAAGAATTGATGTTTTAAGGAAATCTCTGGTTCTTCCATCAAGTGAAACTGTGTTCTTGTGCAAGTCAGCAGTCATGTTCCTACCAACCTCACTGGGCCTGGGATTTGGAGTAGTATCTTAGTACTGCTTTTATCTTTCTTTCCTGATTTCAAGTTTGTGTGACGCCTATGAATTTTTGTAAGTATTCAGACTCTCCGAATGACAGTTTGCCTTTCTAGGTTTAGCACGTCTTTTACTGCAACTTTGTATTTTGCTGATACATCTTCTGCTGATATGCTTTTGTTTCCTGAGGGCACCCTATTAATATTTAAAAGACCTATGCCATCGCTTGCCTTTGGATTGCTCCTGGTTTGTGGGTCAGATATGGGCACCCACAAAGAGTCTAATGCTTGTACTTCCCACTTGGTGCTGGACTGCTTGCTCTGTGTGAGCACAGCATGTTAGATATCTTCATCTCAGAAAGAGGCTGCTGTCTCCACATTGCAGTACTTGCCTATGAGTCTCATAGCAGTTCAGCTCCCACAAAGTGTGTGATAACTTGCAATGACTGTGCACCTCTTGTCTCTAAAAGATAACAGTCTTCATTTGTAAGTCTGAGCATTCAGACTATCCAGCTTCCCAGGAATTGAGGTTAAAGTACACCAGTTATCATAAGACACCTCAAAGCTATTCACAAAGAAAGAACAAATCTCTTGCAGTACAAAAAAGTCAGTCAGCTGCTGGCCCCTAAAGCTTTCTTGCCCTGTTGTATTATGATCAAAGTAATTGTTGCTGTATAAGACTACTGGATGCTGTAACACACATTTAAAGTGGATGACTAATGGATTGTGTCATTCATTCTTTAAATCATTGCAGTGGATTATCTCCTGAGTATTCCAGTTAAATTTGAAAAGGAAAAAAATGAAGCTGATCTTGGTGATCAGACAGCGTATTTTTCATATTGTTTGACTTCTCTTAGCATATAGAAGCTGTGCGTATAGAATACATGTAACACATATTTGTGGCCCAGAATCAGCAGTTATTTTTGCACATGCATGTGACCATTTACTTTCTTTCTATTGAGTACTTCTTCAATTGCTTTCAAGGACTGGGGAAACTCTCAAGTTCTTTACTATGAGAGTGGTGAGGTGCTGGAACAGGCTACCCAGAGAGGCTGTGGATGCCCCATCCCTGGAGGTGTTCAAGGCCAGGTTGGATGGGGCCCTGGGCAGCCCGGTCTAACATTAAAAGAGGAGGTTGGTGGCCCAGTGGTGAGGAGTTGGAGATTCATGATCCTTGAGGTCCCTTCCAACCATTCTGTTGGAATGGGCCATTCTGTGATTCTGTGAAACATAAAAGCTAGAGAGGCATCCTTAACCACTGGAGGATACTGGGAATGGATCCCTTCACCCTGAAGTTGACAGAACGCTGAATGCTTAGAGATGCCTCACTACCTACACTCTTGTACCTTTCTTGCTCTCTCAGAACCTTGTGGGATACAGATCTGTTGAATAAACCTGAGGAGATATTTTGATGATGTTCTGAACATCCTTTAATGCAGGGGCAGACATGGCACTTTAGCCTGAGACTTTGATAGTGTTTGGCAGCAATGTAAAGAGCGGCGTAGTCATAGCCACAAAAAGCTTACTGTTTACAGTTCCATCTCTGACTTTGATTTAATGTGAATGTCTTGAAAACTTACGTTTATTTCATTCATTTAATAACCTTTAAAAGAAGAGCCATCATTCATGGAACAGAATGAATGAACTTCTTATGTTTTCATTTTAAGGCTAATTATGTAATGTTTTTCTTGTGCCAAAAGGCTCAGATTTCACTTTATTCAATAAATAAGCAAAGCACTAAATTCAGTGTGTTCTAAATAACTATTAGCACTACTGTAGGTGAAGGCTTCTGCCAATTTAATTGCTCTCTTGTACCCATAACACAGGAGAAGTTATTCCTTATCTCTAGAATACACGTTTGCCTCCATGACCTTCCGTCAGAACAGCATGCAAGATATGAGGGCAGGAAGCCAGCAGTCCTTAACAAAACCCACATTTCTACAGAACCTCTTTTCATCTCAGCAGCACAGACTGCCACAAACAAATCAGTCTCTCCTGCTTTCAGCTTTTTATTGAGTACTGAATCAATTATTTTGTTGCTAGTGCTCAGTGGTGTGGGCCTTGCATACTTAGATTTTCTTAAGCTGTGCAATTTTCTCTGTCAATAATTCCACATAGAAAATTTCTCCCGTGGAGGCAGAAGGAACTTCCTTAAGAATGACTCACAGGCAAGAGGAGTGAAGTCCCACTGGCTCTAAGGACTACCATTCCTACTTCAAATACGTGCTGCATTTATATGACTTTGTTTTCTCTCATAAAAATTAAGAACATTTAGGAAGTGTTCACAACAGCTGATTTTGGCCTACTGGTAAGTTATCCACATCTCCACTCTAAAGACATCTTAGTTCTACCTGAACCAAAGATTCTGTGTCACACCGTGGGAGTCTCCAGCATGCACTGAACATTCTGGCTGTCTGCCATGTATAGACAACATCACTGCGCTCAATTCCCATCTAGGAGAGTGGCACATTGGAGGTTTTCCTTTGTCCCTGCTTACCCTTCAGCTTCTGGGGTATGACATGGCAGCTGGGCCAAGAGTAGGCCACATTCCTCCTTTGCACTGCTGAACTCCATATGCCTGCTCTGTTGGCTTAGTGTTGGGGCACTGCGTGGCAGAGAGGGCCGGTGAGTGTCTTGGTTGGAGAATGGAGCTAAGGATGCCCAGCATCTGAAGGCCTGGAATATCCACAGGAATATCCTCCAGTTATGGGCCCTTTTGTTCTTATCTCTGCATGGTCTCTACAGGCCAAAG